TTGTTTGTTTGTTTGTTTGTTTGTTTGTTTGTTTGTTTGGGTCCGGACATCATTTGTGTGTCTGGTGTACCGGCACGGACGGTCCGGGTTCTGTCCTGTCCGGTTGTTCGGTGCCTGTCCGGATTACCGGACGTCTGGACCAGTCCAGACAAATGTCTGGGCCTTTATCCAGACATGTCCGGGTCTGGGTCCGTGGTTGCCATGTTTATTTTCCTTTTTGATTTCTACATTATTTAGTTTATATTTGTTCAATTTGATTTGGTTTGGTTTGGTTTGATTTGGTTTGATTTGATTTGATTTGATCATTTTTTTTTAAATCTGATTTGATTTGACTTTGAATTTGGTTTTGACTTTGGTTTTGATTTGATTTTGATTCGATTTTGATTCGATTTTGATTCGATTTTTATTGGATTTTTCATTTTTTATTGGATTTTGATTTGTGATAGGTCATGCCGGAGAGGTCTGCTTTTGGTGGGCGTGGATACCTGCCGCGAATGGGACAGAAGATAACAATTGTTGTCGGCGAACCCATCGAGTTCGATCTGTTTCATCTGAAGAAGCTTGCTCTGTCTCAGGCAACAGGAATAAGCCTGGACCAGGATCAACAAAAACTGGGCAACTCCGACATTCCACGTCCCAAGGAGGAACAGATGGACCAGCAAAAGGAGTCGCGGAACAACTCCGGAAGTAGCGCAGGGTACCACGGAGGACCAGCGGCGACAGCAGGAACCGGGCCCAGGTTATGGAGGCAGCAGGTCGATTCAGTCCCGTCCGCAGCGGAGACGACTTTTCCAGAACTGGAAGCTTTTGTTTCGCAGGAGACTTCCGAAAGCCGATCGGTTGTGGCGGGACACGATGATATTCCAACGCGGACTGTTGCGGGACAAGCAATCGTCGATCCCGTCCATCGATGGCTGTACTCGCATATCACGTCGCAAATTCACGGTGCGCTTCAGAAGCTTGTTTATGAGGCTCACTCGCTGAATGCCCATGGATCACAATGATGAACCTGACCAAGATATAGAGAGAGAGGAGAGAGAGATATCTCCATATCCCATGGAGGTAGGTATCTCCATCTCCCATGGACGTAGATATCTCCGTCTCCCTTAGAATGACAGTAGAGGTGTGGATGCCATGAAAGGTAGATGACATGGAATGAACACTTGGGAGGGTAGCTGACTAGATTCAGGGAGACAGAGAGAGAGAGAGAGAGGGGTTTTCCAGATAGAGTGTGAGTCACACTGCAGTTCTTTTCTTTTTTTTGTTCCCGTCTGTTATAAATTGGGGCGAAAAAAAAAAAACTAAAATAGGCTTGTATCGAGTTGTTTGGCCCGTGGTGACGGTCAGTTTATAGGAACTTTGGGGTCTTAAATTTTTAAAAGGACCCCAACCGTTTTTATCAGGCATTTAGTTACTTATTATGTCCTCCCCACGAATTTAGATCGGAGCATTGTCCCATTAAAGCACAATACCTCCGAGCCTCGTTTTGCCGAGGCGGAGTAGCAGTGTGCGCCAAGCTTTTGCCCAAGTGCCAGCGCGGCCTTTTTTATTTTGTTTTGGCTGCCGCCACGAGCCATTTTGGTCTGCTGGCACCCGGCCCCCGCCGGCCTCCGAAGAACGCGGTATACGTTATATTTTACGATTTCTTGCCTTCAGCCTGAAAGGTAGGGTGGTCTTAAAAAAAAAAAGGAAAAAAAAGTTTAGTAGCTCTGATCTGTCCATGAGTTCAGATCTGATTGGAGTTGTTGAATCAATCTGATGGTTCAGATCCAATTTGTTTTTGTCGAAGGCTGAAATAACCATCGAACTCGCAGTAACAAAGCCATGTTCACTTTTCTTGCAGAAAGGTTTGTAGACGGAGTTACCCTGCGAGCAGTTGAGTGGGGATGGTGAAGATTTGACTGAGTGGTTCAGTGCATGTGGGAGGGAGGGAGGGACTGTGTGAGGGAGGGAGGTAAGAAAAGGAGAAAGAGAAAGGTAGAAAGAGCCCCATGTGGTGGGTGCTGGTCCTGTTTTCCCCCCTTCCGTATAGTACCATAGTGCTTTGACCAGGGTTGTCAAGCCCCGGCCCCGGGGCCCCGGC